AGCGGGTCCGCTACGCCATCGCCGAGGAGCTGGGCAGAGGCTCGCTCGTGGGGCCGCTGGCGCGGGACCTGGGGCTCAGCGCGGACGAGCTGCCGGCGCGCAAGCTGCAGGTGGCGTCTGCCGGCAAGAAGCAGCTGAAATACTTCACGGTGAATGAGGAGAACGGGAACCTGTACGTGAACGAGAGGCTGGACCGGGAGGAGATGTGCGGCGGATCTGCGACGTGTTCTGTCAGCTTCGAGGTGCTGGTGCACAACCCACTGAACGTTTTCCACGTCGAGGTGGCGATCGAAGACGTGAATGACAACTCCCCGACCTTCAGGACGGGTTCTTTGGACCTTGACATCGGTGAATTAATCCCACCCGGTGCTCGTTTTCCCCTGGAAGTGGCCCGAGATGCAGACGTTGGCAGCAACTCGATCCTGACTTACCGACTAACCAGCAATCCGTCCTTCTCCCTCTCCGTACGGGACAGTCCGGACGGAAGCAAACCGGAATTAGTCCTGGAGAGAGCGTTGGACCGAGAGAAGCAGAGTTCGTTTGAGCTGCTGTTGACGGCGGTTGATGCCGGGGACCCCGTGAGGTCCGGGACTGTCCAGATTCGGGTCAACGTCATCGACGCCAATGACAACCCACCCGTATTTGCGCAGGACCGGTACCGCGTGAGCCTGCGCGAGGACGCTCCGCCGGGTACGGAAGTACTGAACCTGTCAGCCTCAGACGCCGACGCGGGCACCAACGCCCGCATCACGTACACTTTCGGGATAATGCCGATCAAGGCACTTCAGAAGTTCGTGGTCGATGCAGAGAGCGGAGCTATCACGCTGCAGGACGCTTTGGACTTTGAGGAGGCTCATACATTTGGCCTGGATGTGGAGGCCAAAGACGGGGGGGGATTGGTGGCGCACTGCAAGGTGGAGGTGGAGGTGCTGGACGTCAACGACAACGCGCCCGAGATCACGATTCTGTCGATGTCGAGCACAGTGCCTGAGGACACACCCATCGGCACCGTGGTGGCCGTGCTGAAAGTGAGGGACCGCGACTCCGGCGAGAACGGTCAGGTGTCGTGCGAGCTGTCGGGCGAGGCGCCGCTGTC